CTCAGTTGGTTAAGAGCGCAAGCTCTGAGCAACAGGGTTTGATTCACACATGAGCCAGTGAGCTGCGCCCAAGCTGAGCTGCCCTAAGCTGCCCTGAGCTGCCAACAGGCAGCCGGAAACCATGCGCTCTTAGCAACAAGGCTTCTGGTTTGACTCCTGCATGGGATGGTGGGCTATGCCCACCTGCAACTAAGATTGAACACAGCACCTTGAGTTGAGTGGTTGCGAGCTGCCGATGGGCAGCTGGATGGCGACTAGACTTGGAGCTGAGCTAGCTGCGCCCTCTACTATGATTGAAGGACAACTTGGCTGTTTCCCTTCCCCAATAAAATCTTAAAAAAAAAAAAATGGAGAAAAACTACAGAAGTCCCCTAAGTATATAATCTCTATTTAAGCAACCACTTCAGCTTTTTATGAATTGCAAAATCATTAATTGTTTGTTTTTCTTTTCCCATTCTCTGGGAATGAATGAAATTGCACAGGGAGGAAGGAAAATCCAACAAATTGATTCATCTAGAGTTGCTGTCTGTGTATAAAGAAACCGAAACACTGAAACTCATTTAAAAATCTTTTTGAAGTGAAAGCTGCTAGTTGATGTTAACTCAGTTTCATTTTTAAAATCATAAGGACTCTAACCTGGGTTACAAGGCTGCTGGTCTTATCAGAAGTTTCAAGGGCCCCTGAAGTAGTAATGAGGGAATTTTAAAGCACAGACTTAAAAAAATCCCTACTTCTTAGAAAGCCAAGTTATTATAAATGAAGATAGGCAATGTCTGGATTTTTTTTTTTAAGTCTTACTGAAAAGTACTAAGTTTTAAAATAAGGCAGAGAGGCTAGATATTTAACTTTCATGCTGAAAGGGGAAAATGATGCTCAAAGTCACAAAAAGGCTGCAGGATTTACAAACTCAATGCCTTTGGGGCTGGAAGGAAATAAGTGAAGGAGTATATGCCTCCCTTGAGTAGATTTCCGTTTAAAATGGAGAGCTGCCATTCAGTCCCAGCCAACTGCATTTCTATGCAGAAATGTGAATCCAGTGTTGAAAATCCTTTGACTTTTCAATCAGATAATCATGCAAAAACTTTCTATTTGAAATATTAAATTTTTATTATAAAAATTTTAAGGAAAAACAATCCTAGTTAGGAAGAGGGATCAAAAAAAAAATCTGTAACCCACATATAGGCAGGCAGTTTGTATCATGTAGACTAATCTTCCAAGTCCCAGTCTAGTTCTAATCTCATACTACTACTACTAGGTATAAATACCTTAAAAGATTATTTTTAATCTCCTTAGCATTCCCTAGGAGATTCAACATTAGAAATGTAAGCTACTCCTGGAAATAAGCTTTGGACCTAGAAATGGTATTGGACTGTTAGCAGGGAAAGTGGGAAGAAAAGACACGGTGGGACTATATATTAGAAAAAAAACAACAACCTAATATGTCCTTTATCTTCTGTTGGGACTTACAAAGTTTAATGTTAGAAGTTTCTTCTTTTGATACCTAAAACTTGAATGCTAGAATGGGCTGAGTTACAAGGCAGCATAGAAAACTGATCATTGGTTAAGGTGTGGTTTCTGGATCTTGTTACTAGGTATTAAGCTCTTTGGAAAACACTGTTACATCTCTGAAAAAATTCCAAGAAAAGTGACAAGAAAGACAATAATAATTATAAAGCACACCGATATCCAGGATTAAATATGATTGCCAAATATAAGAAATGTTTTCTTTAGAAATGATGTGCTAGCATCAGGTTACTAAGGGTCTAATTGATTAAAATCGAAGTGAAATGTAACTGGCCATAGTCAAGCACCACTTTAAAAGGCAAGTCAATTTGACCAGTTCATTCTGGAAGAGAG